AACGGCTAGCACCAAAATAATACTTTTCCTGGCTCTTTTTTTTTCCCCTGTCAAACAGATATGTTCCTTGATCTATCTCATGGAATTTTTCTGATATTTTTATAATGAGATTTTTGCGTTGCTCAATGGCAAATCAGACACCACCGCAGGACAAAACCGCACTGATGTGTACTGATACCTACAAATCCAAAAATCCAAATTTTAATAACACTCTGAGATAAATTTTTTTAATTGTGTGTGTGACCATGGAAGAATTATTTATGGAAACTCAAAGGAAAAAAGGAAAGCTGTGGTGTTTTTTGTGTATTTTGTTTGTTTTGGTTTTGTTTTTTTTTTAAATGAAACATAATTTTATAATAGTTCATTTGATTCTTATTGAATATAAAGCACTAGTCATACAATGCAGAACTGGCTGCTCACTTCAGATGAGGCAAAGACACAGCAAGCAATTTCCTTACTACGGTGCTCTAACATGTTCTAAAACTGTGACATTGTTAATCAGACGGCATATACCATGGTGATACCAAAATGCTCCAAACACAAACCTATTTTTCAAGTTCACTTTGCATTCAGTACTGACTCAAGAAACGTAAATTTGTTTATGAACAAGCAATGAACCAGTCGGTTAACCGGCACCTGAAATGGCAGTGCTGAAAAAATGTACCCTTTGCTGAAACCATCCTTGTCACTGGTTACTTATTTATAAGGATGGAATTCATTTCCACAACTCAAAAAGTTAGTTCTTTCAATTATTTGCCTACAGTCTTCTTTAGTCAATGGAAGGAGATCAGTATCTCTAGAAGACAAATCATTCTGTGCCAAAACATATGTTTAATACCAGACAAATAATATTTAGATAGGTAAAGTTCAGCTAGGATTTATCTCTTTGCATCCAGTGCTAATACAAATCCACACTGTGAGCCAAACACCCGGAGGAAAAAGTCTGGTTTCAATCGGTCTGTCTTGCTACAGGGGAAATCTCAGTGTTTAACTCAATATCCAAATTCTTTCACTTACTATTACCACTTTAATTTATTACATCAGTGGAGCATTTGCCAAAACCACACACACAAAGCCTTTATTAAGCATGCAAACTAGACTACTTTTAGCTTTTTTTTTCTTAGGTAGTTTTGATTTCTTCCTCTAAAATTATGCCCATGTTAGACAGAAGGGATAAAATTAACGATTTCATCTAAACACAACTTCTGCATGGTCCTACAATGACAAACTGTGCAGACAATGTAAGTTTCTCCTCTTCAAAACCCCTTTAAAAAACAGGTTTATTTTTGCCAAGGATAGTCAAATTCAAAGAATAAGCTTTATTTAATTCTGTCATTTTTAAAAAAATTTAATTTAGACACTAGAGTTACTAGTGCAAACCAGAAAATTTAAATTAGCCATCCTGACTGAATCTCTGCAAGAAAGTGCTTGTTGAGTCACTAGAAGACACAAAAGCATGAACCACTTATTCTGTTAAAGAATGTAACATCATACAAACAACTTGATGCTTAGGACAATTTTGCAAAATAATGTAGCAATCACATTTCAGGCATTTCTGACAGTGTAGGTGGGGGAATTAAGCTGTCCAAAAAGGTTTGCTGAATTTACGTGTTTGGATCCTTTCTTCTTTATATTCTCAGACTTTCTCGGTGCGTTAAGATTCCTTTACAAACTACAAAGGAATATACTCTTAAGTGCGTTGATTATGAAGTTTTGGAAGAAGTCCCAGAACTCAAAGAGAACCGTTCTGTTATACGCCAAAATATTTTCTTAGGAATATTAGTTTTTCTAATGAGGCAGCACACTACAGGCATTTTGAAGGCCATCTATTCATCAAGTGATTTAGGCACATGAGACCTTAAACATGTTTTGAATTTGGGAATTACTATGAAATTTTAAAATATTTTCAAGCAAGTGCACAAATATTGCAGTTTTGTCATTTCCACCCTCAGCTACCTACAAATGAGTAACTACTTTGTGCAAACAATTTAGCAAGGCCTCTGCTATCTCACTTCATAAAATATGTAATACTGAAATCAATGCAGGTCCACCGTTAACGTACAATCAATGTTAAAGTGTAAAAGGCAAAGAATCCTGAGCTGACATCAGGCACAGTAAACACTTTACATTTATGTTGAGTGAATCTTACCACTCCTTGTGGTTTGATTTTAATACAAATTAACTGAATTTATTTCAAACTCCTCCTTTTTGACTCCTGTTAAGCTTCCCTGCTCTGATCCACTCCATCCATACCTCACAGCTTTTCCTTCTATATGGAACTTCCCATGGTCCCTATATCCATAAATGCTTTCATAATTTACTTTTGTCATTGAGCCAGCGGAAGAGGCACAGTATCCTCCTCGGCCACAACACCACTTGCAAACATGCTGGACATCCAAAAAACCCATTTCCAGTTTCTTCTGTTTCCAGAAATAAAACTATTATTTACTCCAGTGGAAAACTTTTTCATGAAGGTAAGGCATAACTGTTTTTCAGTTTCAGATTCACTTAAATGTTATACGATACATTGACTTTTCATAAAAGGCCAGGCACCTTAATGCCTAACAGCATCACTACAGCGTAGCATACAAAGGATAACAAAATACCCTAAAAACCAACTATTCAATTACTCAAGGTATAGAGAGTAAACATTTTACGGAAAATACATTCTTTCATATAAGAATGCTTATGGGTTGCTTACTTGAAAGTAGTAATGTGGTCTTACTGGAACTAATAGTGACTAAAATAAGATACAGGTCTGCCTTCAAATGGGGAAAAAGTGACATAAAGAGATAATTTCCATCCAAAAGAGAAAAAATATTGTACAGGATCTTATAGTCAGAAGTTTATTCCCGACTGATCCAACAGACAAAACCAATCTGGTTCTTCTCTGTATTTCACAGCTGGGCGTCATCCCATAAACACAAGCCCCATACAGCTTCCTTTTTAATAGTACAGGAGTAAAAATAAATAGATAGATATGTCAAAAGGTTACTTGATCCTGCAAAAGTGATTCAAGCTGGATATTTGTTAAGATTACTTAACTCACTAAGGGAGTTATAATTTCAGATTTTTTTATTTCTATAAATCTGAGAAGCATATTACAGAAATACACAAGCAATCCCACTGGTCAGTCAAATTACTTGAAATTTTTAGAGAGAAAGGGAAATGAAAATTTCAGCATGACGAAGCCAGATTGACACGGCCCACTGAGAAGAAAAATAATGGATCGTGAACTACTGGTATTCTAAGAAGCTGTTATAGTTGGTGTCTTAGAAGTACTGAAGACAAAGTATCTAAACAAAGGATTTGGGCAAGGGAGGAAAATAAGTAAGCATGCAAGTAAATAAATAAATTAAAGCAGCTTTGCCAGCTTGTGCTCCTTATCCCCAAAGGAAGGCTATCTGTTAAGACCACAGCTTTACACATATTCTCCCTTTGCACCAGTGTTTTCAGCCAGAATAGTCAAACAGTGTTATACAACACTGGTTACTCAAATAAGACAGGGAGCAAGTAAAAGGAACTTCAAATTTGGCAGTATAAGCAGAAGTGAAAAACAGATGCTGAAGATGAACTGAAGATACAGAACAACATCAAGAAAATCAGATATATGGAAATGTAACTGAAATATTTAGAAAGAAAGAAAAGGAAATCCCAGTACAAACTACCAACCTAATTACTTAAAATGTACTTCAGAGACAAAAGGAAATTTTGCAGACACACATACTCAAGGATTGGCTAATAATTTTAGTTGAAGAATAGTACAGTGAACTTTCAAATATATGTGATAATTTGGGTTCCACAAATAAGACAGTAAGTGTCCCCTGGTCATTAAGTCGTGAGGAAAGCAGCAGGATGAAGAAAAACAATGGAGAAGAGAAAGAGTCCAAGACTTCAGGTGGACACCTTTGGTATGTAAGGACAGACACAGACAAAGGCACATATGTATGTTTGCACACAGAGGCACCAAGGAGAGGGAAGTCTGGCTACGATGATACAGGACGAGCAGAGAAAACAAACTATTTTGTGAAGCACATTTGCATAGTGAAACAAACATCCAGCTCATCTGTTAATCCAAACATAGTCATTTAAAAATAACCACTGACACCCACAATCTACTGTGAGTGTTTTCCAATTTGAAGCATAAATCAAAATAAAATCAAATAAAACACTAATCAGAAATGAGGCATATTAGATCTGTAATATATACAGGCTTCAGTGGCTTAGCATTTCCTAAGCTTGGATGACAGCGTATTTGTTTACGCACAGTATTATGGAAGAGTCATCTATTGAAGGTCAAATCTAGACAGATGTGCAAGGATTCAGAATGAATAACCAAGAACCCAGCATTTAATATCACTTTTTCTGCCACAGCAAAGAAAGTTACCTCAGCAGAGATCCTCTTCCACTTTCAGGCCAGATAAGAAATGAATCCCTTTTGCATTACCACCTTGGAGTGTTTGTGGCTGACATTTGTAGTGCACCACAGCAGTTGTTGTGGGAAGGTAGGAACAAAACCATAAAGGCCTACCACAATTTGAACTACTTGCAAAACCCATTGATATATTTAGTAGATAAGGAGGGATTGAGACAAGGGCTACATATAAAACAAATTTTTAGCCTAAATACTTTAAATATGTTTAGATAAACTATGCAGAATAAGGTACTGTTGTGTTGCAATTACAAACGTACGCTAGGGTTTTGTACTCAGAAGTTTCTGTAACAGCTTAAAAACAAATAACTGAGAAACCTCAAACCATTGTGCTACTGAACTTGCGCAGAGCTCATTAAAGTCTGTGGAGAAGAAATCATTAGCATGCATGTAAGTAACGGAAGTCCAAGGATCAGCACCGGGAAGCAGTTAATCAGCTCCTTCGATGATAAGAAAGTTGAGGAGGTGCTAAGTCCCTCCTGCTCCTGCACACAGATGGGTTTTTTGCCCCCTGCCTCACTTCTGTTTGAAAGGCAAGTGGAAGATAAGCCTGCCTCAACTGACCTACCAGGGGTTTCTGTAGGGCTGGCTCCGAGCAGTTTACTGCAGAGCCTGAAGTAAACACACCAACGTACATCCCACTATGGGGAAAAGGTGTACCCATAAACACATATCAAGCAGAGAACAGCAGAAGATGCTGACTGTCAAGGAGGGAATCGTGCTAAAAAACACAACACCAACATACGCACATGTGAAATTCTTCTTGATTCACTTTCTTGTGATGGGTGGTGCTGGGGTTTATTTGCAGTATGAAGAAAGCTGATGTGTCCTTACGAATACACAAATATACCCCACAGGTGTAACTTTCAATATTCTTCCCCAGGCAGTGCAAAGAAAGCATTTTCTGTACCAGCACAGTATCACTGCTAGCAGTCCTGAGATGGACCAAGGAATTGCTGACGGCTGTCTGGAGTCAGATACCGGAGACCAGCGCGACTTCAGCAGAGGACGCATCTCCGACAGCAAACACACAGCTGCCTTCAACCCACAACTGGCCAAAGCAAAACCACTCCTTGGGAGAGGGTGTGAAACACCGAGCCACTTGTAGCAGAGATTACTCTTGTTTCTTGATATGAAGGACATGCCGATACTACATTTGCGAACAGGTGAAAATAAGAGTACAAAGTGGCTGGAAACTTTATACTTTCAGAGTAGCACATGCCCTTTGGCTCTTACCCTACCTGTAACAACACTAAAAGCAATGGAGGACTTCAGGAAAAGTGACAAACAACAGAAGTTTGACAAAAAAGCAGCTAGTTCGGAGATGAATAAATGTATTTCTATACGCGTTCTTGCGTGTACAATGTATATCTAGTTAAATTTCACAATTTAAACTGTAGAATCAAGGATCTTACGTCAACTTTTATCTAGCTGGAAAGACAAAAACTGTGCAGCAATCGTAATAGTTCTGTGGTGAAGATGGTTTCAACACAACTTTTTTATACGTTTTAGTTACCAAAGAGCAGTTGTTTTACCTCTTGATATTAAGCAAGGCCCAAGGTATCCCAGTGGGAGTGTTGAAAGCAGGCAGCAATTTCTCTCCAAGCTCCACTGCCTTTTTTCGGAAAACCTGGAAGTTTAGAAGAAACAAAGAGTTGGAAAATGCATTGTTGTTCCCACTAAGTTAATTTAGAGAATACCATTACTGAGTGTATGGTACAAGTCATCTCAGCACAACGAAGCATCCCTGCTTTTTCAGAGCGACATCAAAAGGAACAAAGCAGCACAACCCATTTTCCTTTACACCCAGTAACGGGAGAACTCACACAGCAGGATCACCCAGTGATGATACCCAGATGACGTGCATCTGGCATGACCAGCATCAAGGCAGAGACATCAGCGGGGCCAGACCTGCCCCAGTTTGCGCAGAGCTGCTTGCGCCCTCCCTGCCGGGTACCGTGGGGTCAGGGAGAGGGGCCGTGAGCCGGGCACGCTGCTGGATCCTGGCCTCGAGCGAGACCTGCTCCCGGAACGGGAGGGATGCAGTCGTCTTTGCTCTGTGTGAGGTTTATTAACGGTGGCTTAGCGTGCCGTGGGAACTCAGGCTGGATCGCCGTGTACCTGCCATACTGTGAATGTGCTGTATGGGCAATCTGCAGCAAAAACAACCCACCCCCTGCCCCGAAACAAAAAGAAAAATGTTATTTTTGCAGCACCACCGTCTTTATGGACTCAGCTGGCTTATATCCAGATGGTATCAATGCCACAATTAATCAAAAAATTGAAATATACCCCTACAGATAACTGAGATTTATCTTTAGCATCTAAAGAGTTCTAGCTTTCATCTTAAAAACAAGAAGCAGAAAGACCCCAAATGCTTAACACATGCCCTCGAGAATGACAAACAATTTAACATCAGGAACTTTGATGTCCAGAGCAATAGTTACAAAGCCAGAACAAAGAGGATTTTGCTCTCCTTCAACTGCCAGCTCAGCTCAGGCTACATTAACCTCACTTTTTGAGCACCAAGTGCTCCAGTAAAACAGTTTTTAATTAGAAGCAATATTGTTCCAACTTAAATATAGAAACCTATTTAGTAATTTCAATACTTGGATGTTCAAGGCCTATTTGCTTGGAATTACACTGGGATCCTGTGCAACACTGAAGGGGATTATCCCAGGTGTAGTAGCCAAAATAGCAAAGTCACCTTCATCGTTCTCTAATAATGGCTCCCTTCATTTTTTTTTCCCTTCAGACATATTTATGATGAATTTTTATTTATTTATGCATTAGAAATCAGCTTGTACATCTGACGCATCTCGCAGTGTAGCCAAGTACAGTACAGCAAATTTTCAGAGAAGGAAAAAAATGCATACATGTTTATGTGAATACATAAAGAAAGACATTTGCTGGCCAAAACAAGGTAATGAAGAAACTTCTTTCCACACAAATACAATTTATAAAATCCCACTTTCTAAAAGCTACTTTGAGAAAAGGTTTTTACTATTGAAAAATATGTGATCAGGAGAGAATATAAAACTCTGGGATAATCATGTTACCATAAAGCAACTCCAGATTACCCCCCAGTCTCCTCCTTTTTAAGGAAGAGGGACAGCGGAGTTATTTACCGGACATATCAGCTGTCCCTTCATCAGGGGATGCAACGAGTAAGCCACACTCTCATCAGTCCCTTCTTTTAAATTGAGGATTCAGAGTCAAGTACTATGGCTACCTTTAAAAAGCAATCAAACCACTAAAAATTGCACTGACATTTAACTCAGCTAGATACTATACTACAACAAAGAAAATTATGCTATGTGAAGCACTGTAATTCAGGAAAGAAAATTATAATTGAAACCAGTCAGAAATACATGATCAGTGTGTAACACTATAAAGTTAGGTAGAATATTAAATGCTTTCTCAAGCATTTCTCTCTAACCTAATTTTTGCCAGGAGATAGATTTTGGATGCAAGATAATCCTTCTTTTTAAATTCAAAGTATTATGAACAGTTTTTAGAAGGTTTATGGAAGATCTTTAACAAACTTGTATGATATCGATTCTTGCTGTGTGAAGGTCCTGTGTAAGGACTCCTCCATGGTATAACTACACAGACTCCTTCACACTCTGCAGTCCTACTCATAATTAAAATTAGCATTAAAGCAAATTATTATTATAGCCATAGAATAGATTATACAGAAGATGCAGGTACCACATTTTCTATTGAGATCTCTGTTTATATTTGTAGACTGTGAATTGTTAGTTAAAACCAGCTCCTTGCTCAGTAAAGCAGCACCTTCATTGTCCTTTGGGTTACCAATCCCAAGTGCCTTCCAAGCACAAAGTCACTCCAAACCATCACCATCACTCCAAGCACACACTCAGCTTTCCAGTTCCTGCCTGTTTGCTCCACAGGCAACACACATACCAAGCCAGGGAGCAAAACATTATTTTCCTCACTCCATTAGATGTTCTTAACTATTTTTTCAATACTTCTAATTATTCTTGGTCTTCGTAGAAGAGAACACACTAACTTGGGAACTTCCCCTACCACACAACCGCTGCACAAGCTGCTAGGAGGCATGCTCCTGCACACCACCGTACCTACGCACGTCGGATTCCCAATCCCAATTCAGGAACTAGAACATGCATCTTTCATTCTAGTAGGACTGCTAGCACTATTACTGAAAAAGGTAAAAAAGTAACCACGTTTACAGATACAGTACTTCCACCAGTAGTTTTCCTACAGTAATTGTTTTTCTGATAAAAATTTCCTTATTTCTCCCAAATGTAACCTTAATTCAGTGAGGCACTCTGGCTTAGAAAAGCAGTTTGGGTATGAGGTTTTTTTTGGTTCTGTTTACTTTGTGCCACTGATGCAAATGTAGAGGTTTTGGGTGTGAATTAGGACACAAAGATAAACTTTGGATGAAAAAGAAGTTGTGAATTTGATGAACCAGGTTTTCCAAATACCCACCTAATTTAAAGCAGTTAGTCACATTCTCTACACAACCCTGTGACATGCAGGTATCAAAAGTGTGTTGTGGGATTTTTTTTTTTTCTTTAATGGCTTTAGAGAAGAAGTCTTTCTCTTTTAAAAGAGATTGTTAAAAGAGGTCACACATCCAGAACTGCACTGCTCATGTTAGAAGACCCAATCCCACAATCAATCAGATTTTGCAGACTTTTGTGTCCATTATCAAACCTTATTAGGGAAAACAGTGTTCCCACAGAGAAACGAGGATCTGCCTGCAAAGATGCAACTGCAGGGCTAAGACCAGAGCTGTCATCTGGTGAGCACTGGCTTTCATTATAGTGCAGGAATGTTATCTCCTCTGGATAAACAAAACCGTTTCCTCTGGCTGGAATGACAAACCTCTTTGAAAATGTTAGATTATCTCATTGTAGATTTAATTGCTGCTGCTAATCAGGAAGAAAAGAAAACACAGGAAACAAAGAAATCTCTCAGAATTGTGTATTAGGCACATCTAATTAAAAAAGAGCATAACATGGTACAAGATCATAAATTAAGGAACAGCCAGAATTCTGCCTTAAAAAGTCCTCCATCTGAGGGAAACCAGAAGTTAAATTTTAACACCGAGGGAAACAATCCTGGGTTTTAATTTTTTTTTTTTTTTTCAGTTGACAAAGACATTTTCTCCACATTTCTAATTCTGTCAAATTAAGCATTTTTCATTTTTGTTTTATATTTACAGATAGAAACTGACAAGCCACTAAGTAAGATTTATTGCTTTCTTTCCTGTACCTGACTGCCTTTCCCAGCAGGGTAAGGAATGAATATTTCAGTGCAAAAGCAGGAAATGAGAGCAGAAAAATGAACAGGGACAGGCCACTTTGCTGCTCTTCAGAACACTGAATAGAAATCCTTTCAGCATAACAAATGTTGATTTAGGTTTAAAGCGATCTGCTAACAAAAGAGAACTCTCTCAGAAGAACTTGTTCCAATACCTTCTTCGCTGAAAGACAATCCAGGATTTTAGCTATGTTTGCATTTGTTTTATTTTTACAATGAAAGATTAGAAACGCTACAAAACTTGTGGCACCTCCACCTGACATAGCAGAATACCTGAAATAGCGTAAGCTGAATTCTTCCACTATCTTCAACACCAAACGATACCACATTTAAGTGTCATATTATTTGAAACCATCTCCTGTAAATATTTTCAGTGTTTATGACACCTGGATAAGTTACCCAGCTGCTGCCATTAACTCAGCAGTAATTACTGCTTTTACAATTACTGTCACCTTGACACTAGCAGGTGGGTTTGAGTTTAATTTCATTCAGTCCTCACCTCCTCCTGGCTGAGATAAGTCAGTTATGAACTATCTGTGCTACAAGGTGAGGAGACAGTTAATAACATTTACTGGAAACAAGTGTTGTAACGAGTCAGTCAGCGTGGTAACCTGTACCAAGGGAAGGAACCCAACTGACTTCATTTACGACCTTCACAGCTGTACTAGTATTTATTGTACACCCAGAGCCAGAAGTGCCGAGACCGTGTTTTGAGTATTTTCCCCATGAAACAGACTGGGTCCGAGACCAACGTGCCCGCTCTGGGCCAGCCCTGGTCCTGCCAGCCCTGAGCAGAGCACACGTGAAATGCCAGACCAACGCATGCCCCCACCTCCAGCCCAGGGCTGCACCCAACCTCATGTCTTCCTACCAGGACACAGAAGAGGACAGTGCATTAAAAACGAGCGGCTCTGCTCGAGGCTACACCTCCAGTGGTCAGAGATACGCCAGAGCTAATCAGCACGACTGCCCACGCGGACATCAGAGTCAGCATCACGCTCTCCAGCACTCTGAGCTTTGGGAAGGCTTTCTGGTTTGCAAGCGTAGCATCAGACCCAAAGCGCCTTTGCACACCTGTACGACTTTGCTCCGAGCTAACAAACCTCCCCTCAGTCCCCAAGGCCAGGGGGTGGCTGATGGCCGAGCGGAGCAGGCCTGCCTCTCCTGGGGT